TGTACGGGGCTGGGGCAGAGATATCATCATGCAAATGCACTACTAACATTTAAAAATAGGTGTCTGCTATCTATCATGCAGTGATTGTGAGACTGATGAAATTGACATTTTTCACATGCTCTCCTAGCACATGTCCATTTCCTCATGCAATGGAAAACAAATTCCTAACTGATATCATCAGCACTTGTAGCACACATGGACACGGCGGAGCAGACTTATTCAGACCAATCAGGTGAAAGTGAGAAGTGTCTACAAATTGTAATGTAAAATTACAGTTTCCCACACAGTATAAATAGTACAAAAATAAAGTTGACCATATTTGTGCTGGTATGTGCGCATATACTGTTGCCTAGCAATTATGTGCAAGCATCTCAGGTTATGTTGCAATGCAAATTTCTAATAACTACAAGAAATAATTCAGTAACGCAAACGTTAGTCACGGAGTTCCACATGGTTCTGTGCTGGCTCCATTACTCTTTACATTGTACATGCTTCCCTTAGGCAGTCTTTTCAATATATCAATTGAAAACACTGCATACATGATCATTGCTATGCAGATGACAAACACCCTTATTAATCTGTGGAACCATGCAGAAATGCCTTCGTTCATTTGTGCCAATATCACTAAAATTAGAAACATCTGGTCTTAGACTGATGCTGAAAAACTACTTCCTGTATTTATTACTTATAGCCTGGACTATTGTAATAAAGCTTATGTGTTAGTTTAATAAGGAATCACTCATGTGCCTGCTAGGTTAATCATCACATCACCACCACTTTCCCATGCTGTCAATGTCAATACAGACATCTTTACTTTAGTCCAATCATCTTCTTGCCTGCCTTCTTTGAGCCAATCAGCCTCCACTCCACTCTGCATTCTCCTTTTTAGACTCTCACTCATGCAACCCACCTCCTCTAATCGCCACCTCACTAGGAGCTCCATCGATTCATAATTAAGAGGTTGTTCTCAAAGCTCTTTGAAAAGCTTTCATTTCATCCAAAATGGTGCAGCTAGAGCATTAACTGGCGTGCAAAAAGAGACCAGATTTAGCATTGCTTTGTCTCCTTGTTAAATCCAGAGCTACATTTAAAATCTGCCTTCTCACATGCAAAATCTTAAATAATACGGGCGTGTCATATCTTGAAGTACTTAATTATCCAAACAGAGAGTTTTGCTCTCAGACTGCAAACTTAGTTTTCAAAAGTGGACTGGGAGGTCTGGTATGGAACCTGTCGTAATAGCTGTGTGGCTGAGATGCTGGATTCAGGAGATAGAAACCCTCTCTAGACTCAAATTTTACTTTTAGATTAAGCTTATAGTTGGATCAGGCAATCCTGAAACATCCCATAGTTATGCTGCAACCTGTTGTGGCAGACTGGTTCTGCTGGAGGTTTCTCTATGTTAAGAGGGAGTTTTTCTTTCCCACTGTTGCCAAGAACCAACCAACCATTGGAGGGTTGCATGATTGTTGGGGTTTCATTCTAATATTGTAGCTTGTGCAAGTTACCTTAGAATATAAAGCCCCCTGGAGGTGGTTGTTGTTGTAAATTGGTGCCATATAACTATAATGGAACTGCACTGAATTCGCCTTTCTCTCCAGAGAGCAGTGTTCTTCTGTTGCACAATTAAGCTCTGTAAATAGCTCACCCAACATTGATTGCGTGTGTACAGACACATCCAGCTGTTCATATTGTTTCCAGAGTCGAGGACCTTCGGGATGGCTACCAAAGGGTCCATTACCAACACCTGAAGGTTGCACGTGTGAAAACCGCAGCCGCTCAGCGCCGCAGTTAAAGCAAACCTGGCTGAGTGATGACAGAGTATTTGAGGCAGATGCGAGCCACACAGTGAGAGTCCTCACACTGACACTCTCCACTCCCTGCTATCAACCATCAGACATGATTACAGCTCCCGCTTCTTGATCCAGTGCCTGGCTGAGCCCACTGCTTTGATTTCTCGAGATTCTCTCCTACAGCCGAAGTAATCTAACAAGATGGTCGACTCAGACAGAGACTTGACCCTGGTGTGGTATTTGTTAAAGTCATGCTACAAATGGGAACAATTTGTCAGACATCTTTTACTTTATTCAGATTGAATGAGGACATTTCACAAGGTAGTTCTTTCTCTCAGCTCATATTTTACTGATGGCTGGAGGTAAAGGCAGAGACTTCAGTCAGGAATTCGTCTGCAGGGACCTACAAATAGTACCGCGGGTAGCGAAAACATTAATAATCTCCTGCCAGTGATGGCTGCGACCAGACAGACAGTCAGACTATTACCCAGATGTAGGAAAGTAAAGCAATTTAATAACATTGAAAAACACCAATTAACATTTATAACATGCAATGCAATGAGTGAACTTTTACAAAACACTGCAGTTTTCCCGATCAGGTTGCTAATGTTAATGAACAACAGAAGTGATTCTGTTTTGGAGTGGCAGCATACTCAAAGTAGGGCTTAACAAAACCAATATAACACTTCACTATAGCACACTGAATTACCGGTGCAGGTGGATGGCAAATATTAAAACCAGACTGAGTAATCTGATTGACAAAAAGAAGCCTGTAATCCATTGCAGGTACTTCTGACAGTGACATAGCGATGCCACAGCTTCCATTTGCAGGATACAAATAAAAAAAATAAAATAAAAAACCTTAGCTTTTGTTGATATTTTTTCATCATCTCTAAAAAATAATTGACATTGTATTACTAATTTAATAAAGTAGCAATGTAAAAAGGAACAGGCCCTCACTAATGAAAAGATCAACACATCCTTCATGTTTGTACCATATTGCATTCCTAAGTTTTTCTTTGTATGCTAGGGCTACTTCTTTCCCCTATCTCAGCTTTATTTTTAACAAACTGACAATAAATTGTATTGATCTGCTCATTCTTGGTTTGTAAAACTCAACACACTGGTGGTTAAATCCAATTTAATCAAGACTGGGTTATGCGTATAGTTATTTAATGATATCAACCTGTAATAGATTACATTTCTGAAACTTTTTACCCCAAATCTGCTGAAGCACCGCTTGGCTGTTACAGTAAATGTGTGATTTAAACTAACAGCTCAAATGTTTCTAAACAAAGTACAACTAAATAATATATCCTAACATCACAAGGAGATTCAGGAGCAGGAAGTGGTCTTTATAATATGCAATGATATGTGAACTGTCTTATTATTCTGTCAGGTATAAAACCACTGGAAAAAAATAAGTTAATAAGCAAACCTTTATACACATCTTACATCATATTCAATGAATCCATTTCAAATATAAAAGGTCAGTAATATACGTTCCAATTGAAAAAATATCAACTTGATATCCCCACTTTGTCTGTGGCCTGCTACAAGGTGACACCAGAGGCGAAGCTGCATATAACGATGCACAGCGGAGAGGGGAGTACAAAGAGTACTGCAGCTGAAGGAAAGGAAATAAAAACAAAGCCCTCTAAAATTTTGAGTAATAATAATTATAAAAAAAGACACTCCACACATACAATATACACTATATATACACCGTATTTAGTAATGGTCATTCTGTCGCAACTTAACAAAACAGAGCTGTATAAAATGAGAATGGCAGTGTGCACTTGGCAACGACACATTACGTTTGACACAGAACTTGCGCTCCGCATGAATAATGTCTGTTTCCTGTTTTTCTTTTTTTGTTCCGACAGCTTTCGTGGAAACTGGATGGCCCGTTCTGCTCCTCATGCCGGGGTCTGAATGGTGGCTTTGATCTCAGCGGACGCCCTCTTCTCCTTCCGCCCGGCGTACTCGCCGATAAAGGAGCCGTCTTCGTTGAACTGCGCGTCCTCATCGCCGTAGTCCACCAGGCTGTCCCCGCTTTCCACCGCTTTGATCTCCCTGCTCAGCGAGTGTTGGCTGCCCTTCAGTGGCTTCTCGTCGTTGTCGCTGCGAGAGAAGCACAGTGGATTTAGAAGCACCTCATTTCACCCATGGCTTCACTCTGTAGCTTGTTGGAGAGGACGGGGCTGCTGCCTCTACAGTGAGCCTCTGTGATTGACATTATCCTTTACCTCTGGTTGACCAATGGTTTATAATCACAAAGATGCACGTGTTGAAACAAAATTAAAACATGAGCATACGCGCCTCATTTGATCAAGTGCCAACTGGAGAGCAAATGAGATATTAGGAGGTGCATTAAACTGGTGCTGGTGAGGCTACACACATGCTGTGGTCTTGTAATGCAAGACAACAGTGAAACGATTACAAAGGATGTACTGTGTAATATTGTCATGGGAATTCTGCTGACAGAGCTTTTGACATTAACTACAGGAGCACGGTGGACCAGCTAGCTTTTCGTGAATTCAACCATAGGCTGATTCTAAGGAGATTATGGAAGCAACTCCTTAACCAAACTTCATGAAACGTGATTGGCCAAATGAAGAAGCCATTACATTTTTGGGACAAGACAGAGCATTAGATTTAGCAGAGGATGTGAATAGTTTCTGAGAGCAGAAAATGATAGATATGCTCGATAAATATAGATGTCGAGACAAAAACTGATGACTTTTAGCTCAGTAAAGTGAATAGCAGCCACCTTATTAAACACTTGAAACTTTGGTTGGGGCCATTTTCTGTCTGTCCTAGATTACAGTGACGTGATTTACAGCAGAGAGCAGACTTGGCACTCAGTGACTTGAGTAGAAATCAATGGGAGTATTCTAAAATGCCTCTGCCATCAAAGAGCCAATCACCAGCCAAACTGGGAAACATTAGAGTCATGCTGCTGCACTGTTGCATACGCTCAGCTGAAGTACAGTTCAGTGGTGCCAGGGAGATTTAATCTTTATCATCCAAGTTTGTTTTTTTATCATTGAACAGATCCAGGTTAGGTTTACTTCATCAATCAAGTTTGGGCTCTTTCTCCATTTATTTAGATGGACCTCCAAAATAACTGTCCACATAACAGGCATTGCCAATACATGCTTTTACAGGAGCGTTGCTTATAGACATGCTCAACTTGAGTCCCTCTTTATCCTTTATTATTTATAGTCTTCATCATTGCATCTTCCATGAAAACGTTGGGTAATCAAAGATGATACGGACGTGTTACTGTTTATCTGTAAGATTCTCACCGCTTCTGTGCTAAACCAGCGCACTGGGCCACACTGCACTCTAAAAATGAATTTATCATAAATCACAAATTAATAATCACAAACCACCAAATGTTTGTACCTGTGTCATTCGTGTCCTTGTTTCCTTCACTCATAGAGTTTTGTTTTGTTGGGTTATTTTTTAATTATTTTTTTTTAAATCATTTGTACCCGTTCCATTTAAACTGCTGTTCGGCACCAATCTTTCCATAATGAAATAAATTAATATCTCATTATCAACACTCACCCACATCTGAGATTATATATTGTGGTTACTGACCTCATTATTTCCTGCCTGAGGCCAGTGCCTTTCTGTAGTCTTGTGGTCACTGTGAGGTTGAAGGTTAACTAGCACTTAATTTAGCTGAGCAGTACCAGCTTCAGCTTTGACTCAAACTGTGTGCTAAGCTAACAGTTTCTTTATTTTTCACTCCAAACTGTTGTATTAATCTTCTCATCTAAGTACCTGCAAGAAAGTAAACTAGCACATTTCTAGTTTATTCTTTGGACTAGTTAAGTAAACGCAGCCAATCAGTGAAAAGCCGGGCCACCTAGCTCCTGAAGCGAACATGACAAAGTCTAAATGCTGTCACACTGAGCCACTTTTGACTTCATCATATCAGCATTTGTTGTGCTGTGCAGATCCCACTGATTGGAGAATTACACTGGGACTCATACTGCGTTAGACTGTTATGAATTGGACCACTAAAGGATTAATGAAACGTGCCCCGATATTACTGCCCTGGAGATGAACTGCTTTCAATTACACTGATTGGTTTTAGTGTCCTGCTGTGTGCCGGGCAGCTCGCATTTGACTCCATCCGGACAGAAAATGGCAACTTGTGAACGGTGCCGTGGCTCCCTTTATGATGCAATCTGTCACAACACACCAACACAACACCGTATCTATGATCACAACCTCCTATGAAGGGATGCTACTACTCTGACAACATTGACGTGTAAACAGCTTACTGCTGTTTATCACATACTTTCCAGTTACTCAGTCCATCAAATTTCTTCAGCTGAAGAAGTGTGAGGCTCCATGGTAACCTCACGCGTGCTGGGGTGTCTTTTCAGTGAGAGGAAAAGCGCAAAACAAAACATTACTGAGAGGAGAAGATGGATAAGACCGCTAATACAGGAGAAATTCGTTGGCAATTACGCGTGAATTGCAGCGAGGTGATGAAACGGCGCTCTGAGGGTGACACTTACCTGTATTCACAGAATGTGTCGTCATTCATGCCCTGCGACTCCACGTCTGGGTGAAGGTCTTCTTTTTCTTTTACTGCTCACAAAATAAAGAGGAGATATCAGCCATTTCCTCAAGAGATGACTGGCAGTGAAGATCACTGCGTCCCCCGACTGTTAACATTATCTGAATAAGTTTGAGTGTCAGTCCCTAATTCCCCACACTTACGCACCAATGATCAATGCAAGCTTTAGATAAAATTTTGCTTATATATATATATATA